TTATGATAATGATGTCTTTTCCTAGCTTGCTTGCTTATAATGTTACTCAACCAATGGGTTTATCAGGAACTGCACTACTTTGACTTACTTTCAACCCTTCTGCTGAGTATTGTTCAATTTGCAAATCAGCCTGTTACATCATGAATACTGATATTACTAGATGTCTTATTTGTTGCACAGCTGAGGGCTGCTTTTTTGTTTGTTGGCGACAACAAACCTGTAGTTATAAGTATAGATGAGGAATAGACATACTGCAGTTTTTTTCACCATAGACGTCTTATATTTAAGGTGGAGTGCCCCAAAACGCTTGCTGTCGGATCAGGGACGAGAGTTTGTTGCAGCCATCAATATGGAGATATGCAAGGCCTTAACATCAGCCATTTAGTGACCAGTGCATATCACCCACAAACGAATGGATTGGATGAGAAGACAACCAAACTCTCAAAGCACGACTCAGCAAACTGGTAAATGACCACCAGAATAACTTGGACCAGGTTTTAGAAGATGTGGCATATAGCATAATTGCCTCAGTTTTCGGCCTTACAAGCTTACGGTAGGCCTACCCTTACATCTGGTAAGGCCTCATAGAAGTATGTACAAAAATCTTAAGACGCTTTAGTACCTCGAAATATCCACGTTCTGACAATCTTTGTGGGTCCTCCGTTGTACCTTGTAGTATGTAAATCCAATTAAAAGTGTTTTCGTGTACCTTCAGGCACGAGGTTCATAAAGTTTTGCTCTTTTTATTTCAGCTTCCTACTGCACAGACACAACAGCACGCCATATTGTCGAACTCTCGCGGAAAGGGCGACCACCTTTTCAAGGTCGACCTCGAAAAGGCCTGTTACCAATGTAAACTTTTACCGACCTCTGGCGACAAGTGGTGAAGAATGGTGTTTGATCAATGTTCACATACTTGACAAGAAAGATGCAAGAATCTATTTCGGTTATTGCTGTTGATGAGGTGCATTGCGTAAGAAAATAATATATGAAGAGTCCGAATGTGCAGTATAAAATGATGAAGTACGACAACGATTATCATTAAAATACTTTGTTTTCTTTTAATATTGTTACAAATGATGTTGTTTATAGACTGGTATTAAAAATTAATCTCCCATACTCGCCATTATATAGATTTAAATTATATACATTTCATAATATGCTACTTCTGTTCGCTTGGCAGGGGATACGATTTCAAGCCGACGTACAAGGAACTCGGTGCTCTTAGAGTTTTGATCACACGCTCCATTTCTCTTATTAACACGTGCACTGATAGCGTCTTTGCAGATGTTTTAAAGTCTTTATTCATGGAGGATGCAGCTTTGGAAATTGTATCTTTACTACCAAACAGGTAATGTTTAATCTTATGGTAATATGTACAATTCCCTAATTTATCTAAAGATATAAAATAATGTAAAACTTTTTACTCTCTTTATCCCACTAAATATAAAAAGATAGTCCGTTTTTTTAAAACCAAGAATAAAAGTTGCAAGTATCATAGTTCCAGTCTTGGTTTTAATGGCGTTATCCATCTTCACTCCATTTCCTAAAAAAAGTAAAAGTCAAATGAATTAATTACCACATAAGTTTATAGGTTATTAACTATAACAGTGCCATGAAATATAACAAATTAATTAATTTACACTTTTTTCAGGCCAAATATTTTACTGCAATTATTCAAATGTAAAGAGCAAGGATTTGGGGACCTCGAAGACATAATAATCCCTGGACTGAAAGAAAAACATGTCAATTTTGAAAAACTATAATATACGTCAGGTCTATGAACATTGCTAGTATATTTTTTTGACTGTTTTAGAAAATCTTGACATAGATGCTTATAAAGACAAAGAAAAAAAATTAAAAAAATCGCATGTTAACAGTGTTTCATAGTTCCATCCCATCCATTGATTAAAGCACGATTATTAAATAATTTTTATTGCCATCATCTACTATCCGGATAATTATCAGCACCGTTGCGTTTGGGATGGGGGTTAACATTGGGGATGTCTCATATGTCATTCATTGGGGTTTTAGTAAAAACGCCTTATCACACTGGCAGGAGGTGGGGCGATGCACACGTGCTTCTGGGGAAAGGGGGAGGGCAACCATCTTTTTCACCCCCACCTCTTCAGTTCATCATAAAAATACAGATGAAAAAATTAAAAAATATGCAAAGACTGTATAGAAAATGAAGTTTGTTTTAGAGAAGCAATCCTGCGTGAAGTTTCCTTAAAAAAGAAAAGCACAAATGAGGAAATTGACGATCTACAGAAGAAAGGAAGCAATGAAGATAAAAAAGTGTTATTTATGTAATTGTTGTAACTTTTGTCAAAAAATTTGTACTTACCACTAAGAACTATAACATAGCTGCCTTTCTTATTGCAGACGATCGAAGTAGAGAAGTATTTTCTTTTTTCAATTTGAGTGGTTTTATAATCTTGTTCCATAAATAAATAGAGTCGTGTCGACGACCAGTAATGTTTTCCCACAGATTTTCTTCTTCATATTGGTGTATGAATTCCTGAAATTAGTGAACAGTATGAGCATTAGAAATAAAACATATTTTAACCTAACTTTTTGATATAGTTTACAATGTTGTTATAAGTTAAATACGTTTATCTCTATGTAAACAAAATTTGTGTGGTTAATTTTTTCCCTCGTATATACATGTAGCTTTCATTATATTTAATTATATAATTATTAGTAAACACCTCCATATCCGAGCCATATTTTTTTTCTAGTATAAGTCCTCCCTCTCCCTTCTGCTTCTTCTCTTTCGTCCAGCAAGCCGAACAACCCAGCTTGATCAATTTCACAAGCGCCAGACCCAATGATGACGCTACTTCTCTCCACGTGCCCCTGACTGATGTTCCCTCGTCCTTGTTTTAATGTTTCTGTTGTAATATAAATAACACAATAACATAAATCAGTATTCTTAAAGTAAAAATAAAGAAATGCTGTTAACATAACAGCAAACTATATTTTAATGCAAAAATATCATAATCATTAATGAAATTATAAAAAATTTACCTTTAAACGACCCATTTAAGAATTCATGTATAAGATCTAATTCAATATTGCCGTATCCAACTATGTTTCCGCATCTGTTCAGTCGTTCAGGCAGCCATCCATGTTGCCCTGTGGAATACAGAAAAAAAATCCTGTTGATTAGTCTGGTGCATTTTTTGCATGTGTGATTATTTGTACAATGGCTTATCAAGCACATTAATCTGTATTAATTCTTAAAATAAATAAAATATTTTTTTAAAAATTTAAATAGAAAGTACCTGGTAGTAACCTAGGACTTAATATCATGTACTTGAAATGATGTTTATGGAAGAGGCGAGGCACATCTAGGCGCTAATATCTAATTATTTCATCTCCGTCCCCCTCTCGAATTGCGTCCTTGTTACATAGAAAATTAATTCCACACCAGGTAAGACCTGAGGAGTCCTCCCGAACATGATCTTTTTACAGCACTCTTTACAATGCCATGTTCCTTCTGAATAAGAACGTATACACTTAAAGGTCATATAAAATATTTTACAAACGTTATCAAAATCCATTTTCAATGTTAAGAACATCCACTATAATTTAAGGCTTGAAAACGCGTTGTTAAAGTTAAGTGTGGGAAACAAATGGCCTTCCTTAAGGAAAATCCAAATTTGCCCAAATGCGCCAAGTTATCACAAAAAAATGTCAACTCTTTGTCATCTACGTTGAAAAATATGCAATCCATAAGCAAGGTTGATGGGTCAGCGGCACTTTCTGCTGCCCTGTCTCCGGTTAGCCAAAATGACACTAAAGGAAAATCTCCAGCTCTTGCTGATTTCTTTAAAAACGTACAGTCCAATGCGCCCAAATATCATACAGACCAAGGTGATTATTACGCTGCCAATGATAAAGCATTAGTTGACACTATCCAACAAGGAAAGCAGCTCAAGGTGGCAGAACTGTTTGCAATTTTGGTAAAGGTAACTGAAGTTCAAGACACACCTTTCTATTTAAGTTTTAGGCACAAAATGTGCACCACAGTGACATTTAGTTTTGAGCCATACCTGTAATTTTTTTCTTCTCTTAACACAATTAGCTTTTTATCTGGCAGCATTAGCATTTTGAGTTTTTACATAATTAAATTAATTTTATTTCATATGCTTCAGTCTGTTTAAAAGTTGTACCTAGTTTTCTGATAGTACATATATATAGATCAAATTCTAACATGTTTTTTTTTTTTTTGATGATTTTATATTTTTGGTGCACATTATTAAAGAGGGAATTTCTAGGTATATACTCTATTAGAAATCTGCATTAGTAGTGCGTGCAGTTGAAATGTTTTTTTTTTTTTTTTTTTTTGCATTCGTCAGGTCTGAATGATAATTGATTTCTCATTTGGGAACCCATTTATTGAAATTTAATTGAAGGAACCTTTTTGTGGAAGCCACAGCTATGGCTACATATATATGTGCTATATTTCTCCTGGGAATTTAGAGCACCTCCAAACAGTGAGAGAGTTAATTTCTGACCTCTCATTCCCATTTGTTTGAGTGAAGGAAAGTTAGTGCAATGTATTCATTTATCATTATTATTATTATTATTATTATTATTATTATTATTATTGTATGATCACAGTTTGCTTATGCACATGTATCAATATATTCTACATTTCTGTTGAATGCCACAATTTTTGGTTCAAAAGCACAATTTATTTTAAGACTTCCTATTATTTCAAAATTGTAAAGACAACTTTAACATAAATTATTAAAATTGTTTTAAAGGAATATATGTAATGAAGGTTAATTTTATTGAATGTGACATGCTTTAAGATTTAATTAAATTATAAAGTCATCAGTGAAATTATTATCATGGGTAATACAGACAAGTAGTGATCATACATATTTCTGAATAGAAAATGACTAAGGATTATTGACAATCTATGCTGTAGTATGCAAATGGTCTATATGAAGGGGCTCTTTCATAAAAGTACATTTTTTGTCAATAAACTACAGGTCCTCAGATCTCTTTATCTTCATCACAGCCCAGCGCAACAATTTCTCGGCAGACCCGCGAACTCCAAACGGAATCCCCGCATGTCTAGCCGCTTTCCAACAGGTCGGAACACATTCTGTTGCCAGGATTGAAGTGAATGAAATGTCGCCGCACTTGTGAAACCACCAACCGCCCCCATTTACAGCAGCACAGTTGCCTGTCAATTTGTTGTCATTTTTCTGGTCATGTGTTGAGAATTGCACGTTGACGTTCTTTTCCCAGGGGTCAACTGTGCTGTTTGTAGATAAGTTTCCAACACCATTTAGTTTCAGCTTTAAAGTGTATTTCTCGTCTTCGGTTCCAATGAGGAAGTTTGCATGGATATCCCAGAAATAAGAGTCAGTCAGCGCGTCTCTGACCTCTGTCTTTAAGGAGTAGTTTCCCTGGTTGGTGAGATGATGAAATGCCTCCAATCCCAGCCAGTGGTCGCCAGCAACGTCGCCGAACCCATTACGGTATTCTACCCAAGACCTAAGTTAAAAATAAAGAAGACAATCATTAATTCCATACTTTGAATAGGATTTTACATATTTCTCTTTATCCAAGACCTTCGTCAAAGACATTTCAGTCAGTAATTGTATTATTTAAAATATTACCCCTCTCTCAAAATTCATCCAGGATCTTTACACTTTGTCTTTGTTTTATGTAGTTATAAGCTGATACTATTTCACATTAAAAGACAAAGAAGAAAGGACATATAATTAAAACAACCGTTGCTTCTCTTTGATCGTCTACTGCTAATAAAACCAGGTTAAAGGCTTTAGTTATTCCGACTTACTATTGAGCAAGTTGTTGTTTGTTTGTTTAATACCTGTTAAAGTTTAACTCGGGCCCCGTTCTGCGCATTAGAACCGTCCACCCCTCCTCACAGGAAACACGAAGTTGTCTGTTCATGGAACTGATATAAATGTTATGTACGCCATCTATTCCATCTGAAAATATATTCAGGGAATTTTGATATTTGAGATAATTTTGTTTGTCACAAATGTGCAAGAAGTGTTAGCAATTAATTACCCTAAGTCAGGCCTGATAAACAAGGATTAATTTCATGGGAGGGAATAATTCAAAAGAGACGATTAGCAATACATTGTAAACATCTTTTTCAACTTTTCTATAATTAACATGTAACAAATGGTCTTACAGAACATACTCATAAATTAGTATGATTGTTTGTGAATGAAAGCACGACATGAGTTATTGTCTTGTCATGGCAAATTTTTGTTACATGTACCAGCATCTCAAAACAGAGCAACACCGACGGTTGTCAATAGGTGCATGCAAGTTGCTTGGTTAGGATACATTTTCTTGTTTTCTGACATAAAAAAATACGGAAATGTTAGAACTTTGATGATGGGTTTTCTGGTTTTAGGTTGAAAAAATATAGTATCACAATAATGGTAAATAAAGCATCAGTTAGATCAAAATATAAGGTAATTAACTTAATTTTCTGTATCTTTAGCCAGCACATCAAAATATATTTCCCTTGCTAAAATGAAAAATGTGAAAATCACAAGAATATGTAAACGAATACTAAGACCCATCTTTCCAAAATGATAATATTAAATGTATAAGTAGTGGTGTGAGATTTACACGTTTTTATACATCAATTATAAACAAAACTTACTGTAATCAGCGCAGTCACGTGGAACCTAAAATAAAACATAAACATTATGAAGACAGGCACTATTTGCGGTTTCTTTCTGAAGGTCATGTGGGAGAAACGGCACGGCGACCTTAAGCAATGTAGGCATATTCGGCGTAGCTCGTAGTCCTTTACGATGTCAAAAAAAATTATATAGAAAATCCTACACGATTTCATCGCACGGCGCCCGTGGCAAATGTAATCTAGGCTTAAGTCTATCACGCCTTAGACTGTGATTGGATCGTGTTTATAGATCAGTGACCCTCTAATAATGATCAAATGTCATATCTGTCATGTAACGGTTAACCCACTCATGATATCTGACTAACGATTTTTTAATTGAGGCCTGGACAAAAACCACACACTAGTATATAATTACCTTCATGTAGTGGTGACTTGCTTCATCATCAAGAAGGCTCAACTTGGCTGGGGTGAAATCTGCGGCTGAATTCAGTTCACACACGGCGTTTTCAGATCTTATGTTGAAAGACATACAGTGTGTGTTTTTCTGGCATTCCATAGCACATTGTATTTTACTTATTCCATTTCGTTGTTCTTTGGTTTTGAAAGCCTTATTTGGTAAATATTTTCCAGGTATTTTGTGGAAATAATCAACGACGGTGACACCTTTTGTTGCCTCTAAATCATGCCAAGCAATAACCATAATACAGATTACTAAACAAATCAAAAGTCTCACACGCGATACTGCCATGACGAGGCACACACGAAAAATGACAAGACGTGGAAAAACATCTTAAAATATACAAGTCTCACTTTATAAATTATGTATTAGAAAGAGTTAAAATTTATAATGATTGATAATTTTATGTGAGTTGCAAATTTGTCATTTTTTAATTACGTAAAGTATTACATGGATGGTAAATGGCTGTAAAAGGATGACTCGAGGATGGTGAATGTATGGTTGACGATATATATGTCAATTTAAAACTACATGGCAAATTAACCAAATAAGCAGAGAAACACCTGAAATCACTGACAAAATGAAATATTACTTTGTATTACTCAGCACATTAGATGATTAAATAACATCTTCTTTGAGTGATTTATATATAATGTTAAATTTGAAGCTTAAAAAGAATCCAATTGTCATCTTACAACTTTTTATTACCTTGACTATGTTTAGGGCCATTTATATTTATTTTGGCAGTAGATATGATAAAGTAAAATACCCACATTCTTGGGATACGAACACGCGTACGAAAGTTGCCTGTTGGACATGAAACCGAACGTATTTCACTGTTCAAGTAAATCAATGATCTATTGTTGCTTTAATCAGACGCATTAGCCAGTATCGGCAACCGTAACGAACGCATTCACATCATGGTCTTCTAAATCAATGTCAGTGGCGTAAGACTCGGTTGGATTAATTGCTTTCCACTTATAGCCTATTAGTCTAACCATTTTTTTTTACATATATTGTTTCAGGCATGGTTGCATTTCCACTCACCTGGACCGGACATTTTGATCAATTTACGTCTCCAAGTGACAGTCAGATAGATATAACCTAGTGTGCGCTTTTAANTAATCAGCGCAGTCAGGTGGAACCTAAAATAAAACATAAACATTATGAAGACAGGCACTATTTGCGGTTTCTTTCTGAAGGTCATGTGGGAGAAACGGCACGGCGACCTTATGCAATGTAGACATATTCGGCGTAGCTCGTAGTCCTTTACGCTGTCAAAAAAATTGTATAGAAAATCCTACACGATTTCATCGCACGGCACCCATGGCAAATGTAATCTAGGCCTAAGTCTATCGAGAGAGTGATATCATGCCGTAGACTATGATTAGATCGTATTCATAGATCAATGGCCCTCTTATCCAAAGTAATATCTGTCATGTAACGGTTGGCCCACTCATGATATCTAACTAACGATTTTTTAATTGAGGCCTAGACAAAAACCACACACTAGTATATAATTACCTTCATGTAGTGGTGGCTTGCTTCATCATCAAGAAGGTTCAACTTGGCTGGGGTGAAATCTGCCGCAGAATTCAGTTCACACACGGCGTTTTCAGATCTTATGTTGAAAGACATACAGTGTGTGTTTTTCTGGCATTCCATAGCACATTGTATTTTACTTATTCCATTTCGTTGTTCTTTGGTTTTGAAAGCCTTATTTGGTAAATATTTTCCAGGTATTTTGTGGAAATAATCAACGACGGTGGCACCTTTTCTTGCCTCTGAATCACGTAAAGCAATAACCATAATACAAATTACAAAACAAATCAGGGGCCTCACACGCGATACTGCCATGACGAGGCACACCCGAAAAATGACAAGACGTCGAAAAATATCTTAAAATATACAAGTCTCACTTTATTAATTATGTATTAGAAGGAGTTAAAATTTATAATGATTGATAATTTTATGTGAGTTGCACATTTGTCATTTTTTAATTACGTAAAGTATTACATGGATGGTAAATGGCTGTAAAAGGATGACTCGAGGATGGTGAATGTATGGTTGACGATATATGTTAATTTAAAACGACATGGCAAATAAACCAAATAAGCAGGGAAAATTAAGTTTTTCCCACACCTGAAATCACTGACAAAATGAAATATTACTTTGTATTACTCAGCACATTAGATGATTAAATAACATCTTCTTTGAGTGATTTATATATTATGTTAAATTTGAAGCTTAAAAAGAATCCAATTGTCATCTTACAACTTTTTATTACCTTGACTATGTTTAGGGCCATTTATATTTATTTTGGCAGTAGATATGATAAAGTAAAATACCCACACTCTTGGGATACGAACACGCCTACGAACGTTGCCTGTTGGACATGAAACCGAACGTATTTCACTGTTCAAGTAAATCAATGACCTATTGTTGCCTTATTCAGACGCATTAGCCAGTATCGGCAACCGTAACGAACGCATTCACATCATGGTCTTCTAAATCAATGTCAGTGGCGTAAGACTCGGTTGGATTAATTGCTTTCCACTTATAGCCTATTAGTCTAACCATTTTTTTTTACATATATTGTTTCAGGCATGGTTGCATTTCCACTCACCTGGACCGGAACGGACATTTTGATCAATTTACGTCTTCAGATGACAGTCAGATAGATATAACCTAGTGTGCGCTTTAAATTCATAACATACATGTAGGGGCCCTTTTTAAGTGTGCGCACATGTGACTGCAAGTGCTCGCGCGCGTTCACTCTGTTTTTTTTTTTTTTTTTTTTTTCTTTTTTTCGCTCATAGTAAACTTCTGGTCTGCTACAGGCCTATTGTGAACAAGTCTCTTAGCTTTATATCATAACCTTAAATACCATGACAAAATGCTGAGCACCAACAGTTTGTACTCCAATTTGCACTGAGAAGGATCGATCCACCTGTGTTTAGTGTGAACGTATCCCTGCATTGTGGTGTAGCTGAGTGCTATAATGTGATTATATTCGATTATTGTTGGCTGCGTAATTCCAGCGATATAGTTTTCCCTGCGGAAAACTTACACGATTCATTTCGACACAATTACCATAATATTATGTTTCAATACTAGCATATTCATTTGTTACCGCCACTCGTACGAGCTCAATTCATGTGACATCATCTGGTGCAAGATCGATAACAAATACTTCGATCGGTTATTATATGTTTGGCTTTAGTAGATTGCGAGTGGCAACAAGACATTTCTCTGTGCATACGAGATGAAGAAAATTGCGTGAATTAGAGATCCATCACTGAATATATTCAGAGACTGGAAGAACATTGGATAGCTATTCCTTAAAAGATTAATCGTTTTGTTGTGCATGAGAATACCTGGAAACAGATGGGCGCTTTGTTCTCATACAGACCAGAAAATGTGGAAATGAAGGTAAGTGATATATTCAGGTTTCAATGTCAGTGTGAGTTAAGTGCATCAAAATGGGGCGACCGAGTTACAAGTGCGCACGAACTTATCGTAGAAATTGAGTTAATATACATGTACGTTTATCTAGACAGGCTAGGATCAAGAGGAGAATCACGAATTACCAAATCTATCAGTCTTAGCTGTAGAATAATATCGATACCAAACCTGCTGTTGCTATGATTTGGGATATCTATTTTCTGTCCGCAGTGTGACCACCGCCTAAAATGAGCCTGCAATTAGTTCATGGATATATGAATATAGTTAACAAGGTGTTTAAGATGTACTTTTTTTTTTTTAATGAACATTTTGAATTTT